GTGCCACCTCTCAGGTTCTGTAGTTGGCTGCATTCCCCTCCTATAATGTTTTGGTCTCAATTGAAGGAGTTATTTCTCCTTCTGGCAAGCAGCTCTCCACAGTCTATTGCACTTTAGGCATATGTAGGTGGAAGTTTGGAAGGTGGTAGAAGTATGAGATGCTGTGTCAGGGTGTGGGGAGCACTAGACCTAGACAGCCAAGGTCAAAGAAGCTGCCTTGAGAAAGAGCTGTCTCATTTTGATTAAAAAAATGACAGCTAAAATCCATGAACAGCCTTCAGATACCTATATACGCTGAGTCATTTTTATGAGCAAAAGAAGTCACTGGAATCATTTTGGGAACATCCCTGATGCAGAATGATTAGGAACTTTTAAGTCAAAGAAAGGATGGATTTGCTTAAGGTCTTGGCAATAACATTTAATTTTTGTTTGTTTGTTTTAAGATCTTTGAAGGAGGTTTTTTTCTCCATCCCGCTGCTATCAGAGGTGAGTTTGCTGGGGATGTGCGAGAGGGACTTCTTGGTGATTGCTCCCATGTTCTACAACTTCTGACCAAAGGAGGCTAGCGTGATTCCTCCTTTGCTGTCCTTCGGCTGACAGGCGAAGACAAGTTTATTTATTCAGACATATAAGTTAGCATATAAATTGGTTTGTTGCTGAAGAGTTTTTAAATTGGTTGGAGGTGTTTATTTTATTGTGTCTTCAATTGGTTATGCTTTGTTTTAAATAAGTTTTACTAATTTGGATTTTATTCTTAGCTACCTTGTTTTTCTTTTTGGTGGAAAAGTGGGGTGAAAATTAAATCAAGAAACATAATATTCCTCCTTCTAGTTAGTTTGCTATGAAACCAGTCTGTGCATTTAAGCCTTGATCTAGAAAGAGAATTTGCTGCCGGTATGTTGAATAGGTTTGGCATAGAAGTGCTCTCTCCAGTTGGGACCTAATTACTCTCTGGTTTAAACTTGGAAATACCCCCTACTGGCCTTCTTTGAGTCACTGAGAATCACAGAGTTTCGCAAAGGAGTAGAGTAGGGGTTGTGGGGCTTGTTCTTCTAAAGGAGAGGTAAAAGTGGGGTTCTCCATTTTTGCCTTTGAGCTTTCACCACAACATGATTTCTGTAGATTTCCTGAGCTGCTCAGGGTTGTTCTGTATGCCCAGAGTTATCACTCAATACAGCTTTATTGGGAATTATCAGTCCAAACTGTCAATAGGAAATTTCTTGTTCAGATTTTCTCAGTAAATACTGAGAAAGCAAGCATTTCAGGGAGAATAATTCTAGCCTATCTACTGCCTGCTGTGCTAAGTGTCTACATACAGAGAGGTTTTCTTTTTCTTTGGCTGGGGGAGTGTCCACATAGGGAATTCCTTATGAGAATTCCTGCCAGAAGTAGCACAGTCCTAACAGGACTGAATCACATGGTCATTCTGAATGTATTCAGGCTGAATGTTAAAACCAGGCATCTTAGGATGGGTGAAACTGATATTTCAAAAGTAAAAGCTAGAAAAGGATGCAGAACTGATCCTAAGCATTGTTATGACATGTACGCAGGGCTGTGTTGCTGTGTCTTTTACAAGTGGCCTGAAATTCCTTTGTCATCCTGACTGTTGATATTCAGCCTCTTGCTGCTGCAGCTACTTCTGGGACGGTTGAATGTGGGATAGCTGGCATTCAGAAGTTGCAAGTGTGGGCCCTAGCATTTGTCTAGTTGGTCCCAGGACAAGATACGTATAATGAAAGACAGGGGCATGGGTGAGTGGGACAATGCAGTGGTAGAAGATTCTGTGAGGTGAGGTATTGGCTCAGAAGTTGACAACTTGGTGCCCTTCAGATGTTTTGGACTGCACCTGCCATAATTCGTGGCCAGTAGCTGTTCTGGCAGGATTGGTTATCCTTGGTGTAGATGACATTCACTCCTGCCTAGTAGCTTTCTAGATGGATCCATTCTTTGCTGTGTGTTCTAGCTTGCTGCCAAATCTAGGGCTACTCTTCTGTCTGACTTGGTTAATTTCAGATCGCAGGGTGATAATTGCCCAAACCCACTGAGGGTGACTGAAAGATAAACTGTTTCTGCTCCCCGCCCCCGTCACCCCCTTGCCTGCCTGCTGTCCTGCTGTGTTAGGTCAAATTTCATTCTTTTCTGTCATGAGAAATGGGGAATCAGCTTCCTGGTTCCTACAGCCTCCTGTACACTGCATCCAGGTGGTGGTGCCACTCGGCTCCTGTCCTTCTCCCGATTTCTTCTCAGTGCCCTTGATGAAAAGGGAAGGCTAATTCTGGCATGCAATTTGCCTGTGTCACTCCTGGCTTTCCTGCTGTCATCCATCATATTACAGGAGCTAATTAACACCAGGAGCTTCCAATGCAAAGAACAAAATGG